TTGATTTCGTTTGAAGTTATTTATTTTTAAAATAGTTTATCTTGTGTGGAATAGTTTTTTAATTATAAATTTGTGTACTTAAGTGTTAAAATTTTAAAAAAAAAAACATATATATTTAAGTCACATGTCTGTAGGGTTGATCTTGCAGTATTAAGGATTAAGGTCAGGCTTCAAAAATCTCAGCCCTAAAATATTTTTTGTCTTTTTGAGTTTGACTCCAATTCTCAGCTAATGTGTAAATCTCTCTTACATATTTTGTTGTTTGAAATGTTTGTATTCTAAGGTCACATACAACATGTATGAAAAAAAGTTTTAGAGAGAGTGAGAGAGATCATATATTTGATAAATGTTATTAAGGTTTCTTTAAGAATTGATACTTTCCTTGCTAGACTTATTCTCATAGAAAGCTTTACTCGCTTTCTTTTTTCCCTCCTATTCAAACATGATGGTTAAGAGATGCCAAAATTGTTATGTGATACAAACATAGAAACCAAAGAGGAGGAAAAGTTTGAAGAGAGAAATATTAATTATGTGCAATGATGAATTTTTTTTTTTGGATTTCCTAAGATATTCCCAACCTTAAAGATTTTGAATTTTGAATTATCTCTTCCAAATCGATACTTTTCATATACAATTTTAGAAATTAAACTCTCTAATGATGCTTAAAAACCCAAATCATTATATTTGTGTCACAACCACTTGGTTGCAATGACCAAAGTAAGGGAGAATGCAATGGCTATTGCCCCATAATTCAAACTATTCTTTATAAATATGTAGATTTTATTTGTAAAAAAATGTTGAAATCAAATTTAGCCTTCCATTTTTAGATATATTTTCAGTTTTGGCCCTCCATTGGATCACTTTTGAATTTGTCCTTGATTATGTGTTAGATATGATGATTATGTTTTATTTATAGCTATACTTGATGATGTTCAATTAGGCAAAACTTGTTGACCAAGTCAAGATATTGGCATCAAATTTGTGACATCTATGATTTTAATTTTTGAGAGATACTACTTGATTATCAATTTAATATTTTATTTAGCCTTTTAAAAAACTGTTATCAAGTTAATAATATTGAGAAGTCACTTGGCTAGGGATGAGTAAGGAGTGGAAGTCTAACTTTAGAAAGTAACAAAATCCATCTTATTTGATTTGCTAAAAATTTTAATTTTCTAAAAAAATTAAGGTTCACATTTCCCCTCACAACTAGGAAAATAACTTATTGAGTGAGTTTCATACAAGCTCTACTTTCTTAGTATTTTGTCTTAAAAAAATATTATATTTTTAATGAAAATCATTGTAATTTTTCAAAAAATACAAAATTAACCAAATTAAACAACTTGTACATAAACTTTTTAGAAAATACATTTTTTGAGAAGTTAACTTCTTAAGGAGTAATCCAAATGAACACAGCAAAAAAAAAAACTCATATATATATATATATATATATTTCCATATTCCCTATGCATAATAAAAATATAAGATGGTGCATTTGTTGTCATCTTCATTTTTTGATCAATGGACGTTTGGTTCAATTGGTCAAGGAGTCGAATTAATTCATCTTAGAGTATCAAGTTTAAGTGATGGAATATGTAATCACATTAAATAAATATATTAAATAAAGAATAATAATTTTATATTGTGAAAGTTCATAATAATTTTAAATAAATACACTCCTAAATTTCCTAAAATATCAAGTGATAAAATTTTTAAAAAAATCATTTTTCATTGTAAAATTGTTCGCTGGTTACTATTTTTGGTTCCCCTTGCTTGTAAATTATTTTCACCATAGTAAATCTAGTTCTAATATCTTGTCTATATTTTTAATCTTTTTGAATCCATTTAATTTCGTGAATTCTAACATCATATCCGACTCTTACATGTGGGCCAAAGTCAACTACAAGGCCATGACCTAATTCTATGATTATAATTACGTAATATCATGAGAAATAATTATAAAAAACAAAGACAGAAAGGATTGTCGTGAAGCGGCAACACCGGGGGCCCGCGTAGCATAGGATCACTGCCGAAGCTTGACCATTCACTGGCATCTTCTCCTTGCTTTCTTTGTCCTTTGTGCTGTATTCTATCCTCTACATGCACGCCCATGTCTCCATACCTCACTTATGAAATGACCATGTCACCCCTGGAGCATACGTCATCAATGTTTCAATCACAAATAGAATGGGAAGATGTATTTTCTTATTATATAATTCATGAGTTATTAAAAATATTAATTTTTATTCTTTATATATATGTGAAAATTTAAATTTTCAAACTTAAATTTATATTTTAAAAAAATTATAATGCAGAGTAATACTTAATTGAGATTGATTTATTAAATATTTTTACGCCACTAATAAACCATTGTTAAATGAAATTATTAAAAAAATTTCAAGTTCCAAACTTCTTTTTGTAATTTTTTTTTGAATTAGCGAATGTCTAAAAATTTGCATGCAAGAATGCCTCTATATTAGTTGAATCGATTTGGCTTTTTGTAATTGTTGAACAAAATCTTAGCTAGCACATCTCATTTTTATTATGAAAAAAGTTAATTGAATTTTGTTCTAATTATAGGAATTTCATATTAAAAAAATTAAAAATTGTAATGGTATAAATTTTTTACTGAAATATTTTTAAGTTAAATCCAAATATACAATTTTATTTTTTAAATATAAAAATAAAAATATTTTTAAAAATAAATTTAAAATGTAAAATTATTCATCTTTGAAGGTTTTTAACCGGACATATTAGAAGTAAGAAATCTAAATAGTTCTAAAAATATTAATGACTTATAAAATTATGATATAATTTTTTTAAATAAGTTTACATCTCATATAATTAACATTTTGAATATTTGACTGAAATTGAAATTATTAATAATTTCCGCAATTCAATTCAGAGAAAATATTTAGGTGATGGATGTCTCATGTGTCAGAGTTGGAAAGGCATCAAGGATGGCCATTTTGCTGCGGTGCTCTTGTCACTTTTGTTCTGCTAAATGATGGAGCGCGTCACATCAATCCGCAACAACGCGTCGATCCACGCGCCGCCTCTCTCACATCCTGCGTTTGGCTGTTTGAGTCTACTATATTATGATATGACTCTTATCTGCCCCTCCAAATCAGTGATTAAAAAAAAGATTAGTACTATAACCAACAATATTAAGCCTAAACGCTGATTAGCTTGTTCGTTATGTACTTAATGATAATCTAAATATTATTATTTTTGTTGATATATTCTTTGGATGCAGAACCATCATTTACTCTGACACGAGCTAATTATTTTCTTGTATAGTTTCTTCCTGATCTTATATTAAAAAAAAAACAATACTAAATTTAACAAGCTTCCTGTTAACGTGACAAATTAATATTTTAATATTTATTGATAAAAAAGTCCATCTTTAATATTTAGTCATGTCACGAACATGTTACTTCTAATAATAGAACACATGTAGATTTAGGGGCCAAACACTAGGGTGGGAATAGGTTAGCTGTCTAACAAATGCCCACAACTTTGATCTATTTTAAACCTAACTTAATTTATTTATTAAATAAATTTAAATTATATTTATATTTTTAATTATATTTATTTAGTTAAATAAATCATGCTTATTTTTTAAGATTTATTTTACGAGCTCAACAGGCCAACCTATTTACACACACAATGTAACATATTACAAGCACATCAGTTTCATCATTTAATTTTTAATCAATTTAATTTTTATTTTTAATTATATTTTTAGTTATATTAAACTTATATATTAATTTTATAGTTGGTAAATCTTTTTAATTATTATATATTATAATTGATAAATTAGGTTATATATTGTATAATGTAATAGTCTTAAAATATATTTGAGACGTTTAAAATTAAAATGTGAGTTTATTTAAAATACTTATTTTTAAGTAAATTTTTAAATAGGTTTTCAAACCAAGCTAGATTTTAAGTAGATTCAGGCCTTCACTGTAAAAAAAGCCTTATATAAACTTCAAATATCTAATTTATCACATAAGCTCAAATCTATATATTCAAAATTTAACTCAATTTAGTCTATTTCCCCCCTAGCAAGCATCCATGATACCAAAAAAAATATTAAAATTAATTGGTGTTTGCTTGTCAAAAATAGTAAAATTAATTTTTTGCCCTCTATAATGTGGTCTTGTATTTTGGCCCGTCCATTGACTTAGTTCTAGGACACATGCACACAATAAAAAAAAAAGATTAGTATATAATTAAAGTGAAAAATTAAATACAATAGGTGGGGAGCCACACTTAAATAGTCTTAAAATTATATTGCCTTCGATCTTTATTATAGGTGCTTTCTTTTTTTTTCATTTTTAATATAATATATTTGATGGGATATTAATTATATTTTTTTAATATATTACCTATTTAAATTTATTAATTATAAGAGAGAATGTAATGTAAATTTAAAATTTTTTTCATTTAAATAGAAGTAAAAATTAAAAGTTTATTATATTTTTAGATAAAGTTAATACCTTAATTGTCTCTCCTTAATTTTAATAAAGTAATTAGAGATATTTTATAATGGGAATTGGAAGGATTACTTTGAAAATCAACTTTGACCTTAGGCAATACAACACAATTATTAGAATTGAGATAAAACTGATTACTCTAGTTGAGACACGGACTGGTTGAATTTTGATCATTTTCTCATTTTTAGAATATGCACACAGGACAAAAATTAAAATAGTAATTGTAATTGTGAATTATTCCAAAAATAGAAAATTAGTAAAAGCAGAGGGTCAAACTCAAACCACGCGCGAGGAAGGTGGCGGAAACTGGAAAGAGACTAGGAGCTGTATTGCGGTTGCGGAATCCAAAAACCGATCTTGGAGAAAGGATTTCGTAGTGATGACAGAGATAATTAGAGAGAGAGAGGGCATAGTTACTTCGCCTTCACAGTCCCCACCTCTGAAAACCAATGTGCCTTAAAGAACCAACACCTCTGGTCCCATTCCTGGGTCCCACTCTCTCTCTCTCTCTCTCTCTCTTCAGTGACTAAAGCGTACTGGTACCAGGCTGCTTGGTGCCGCCCATTCAAAGCAGCAACACCAAAGAAAATAAAGCAAAAGGTACCCATGACTATCATCACCCCAAAAGAAAAGCCCTCGCTCTTGTGCTCGTCTCAGAAAGGAACTTGCTTTCTTGTGAGAGAAAAGCAGGTTTAAGCTCTCTCTGCTTTCCCATTTCCCTTGTGGTGGATCACCTTCTTCCCTTCCCACTATTCTAGTTTCTGAGCTTTGGGGAGAGAGAGAGAGATAGAGGGAGAGGGCTGAAAATCGAAGCTCTGAGCTCCCTCGAGCTCTTGTAGATCAAAGAGGGAGAAAGGGGGAAGAAATTAAGACATACCCCGTTGGTGTGAAGCTTGTTCGTGCGCGATTTTTGGCTTCATTTGAATGGTGGGTTTGTGTTTGTTTCGCTTGTGTCTTCAAATTTCTGGGGTTGTTCTTCTGGGGTTGTTGCCCTAGATCTCTTTGCCTCTTCATTTTTCTTGCAATTTCAGACTCTTTCTGTTCTGGGTTCTCTTGTTCTTTGAATATTCTGGGGTAGGCTTGATAGTAGGATTGTTCTCTGATGCAAATAGAAGGAATGGGGTCAAGCGGAGTTTAGCATTTTGGCATTTTCGACCTTCTGATATTCTTTATTCCACTTTCTTTCTTTATCTGTCTGTCTGTCTATATCTCATTCTCGCTTTTTCTTTTTCATATTCCGTGAAGTTGGGTTCTCTTTCTATTATGAATAGATACCATTTCTTTTTATAGCTTATTGGAACTGAAGTTATTGATTTGTGATTGGATGAAGGATGTAGCATCCTGGTCTCCTGAGCTTCATCAGAAAGTTGCAAGTTTAGGCTTCTTCCTCAAGGGTTTTGCATTTTCAGGTTCTCTGAGTAGTGTGTCAATTAGACTTTGATGGTTTAATCTGCCATCAAGCTCCTTTAAGCTCAAGATACTCTTCCATTTCGTTTTTTCTTTTGCTTTTTTCCCGGTTGCAAATTATGCTAGAAAAGCTAAATTTGGGAGATGACTATAGATCAAAGTCAGAACTATAGGATTCATTGAGGTCATAGCATTCATTGTGGTCAGAGGAGAAGCAACAACTCACAGCTCAAGACTCTATTAGAATACCATTTCGGCAAAACCAATAAACCTTAATTAGTTTCTATATAGATCACAAGCTTTAAAGGGGATTATAGCTGAGATTGTTCCAGAAAATGGGCTCATGGATTGTGCAAATTCATGGTCAAATGTTAGGGTTTAGAATTTTGACTGTTAGCATTATGGTTGATAAAGGTTAGGATTCCTTGCCTGGGTACTCATGCTGCTATTGGCTTTTCGGTATATGCTACTTTTATGTTCATTTAATTTGTGATGGCCTTTGTGTTTTCTGTACGCAAAATTTACAAAGCAAAGCAAGGATGCATGATTCTTTGGCATATTTTTGGCTTTCTGTAAAAGCTTCTTGAGTTTAAGGGATTGAAGCTTCTATTATATGAACTATAGTTCTGTTTTGCAGGTCTTTTTTCCTTGACGTCTTTGTGTGATGATAAGTGATTTGGGACATGGAGAGGGTTTCAGAGCCAAAGACACTTCCTCGGACATTGCCTGTTCTTGTTGAGGTATCAAATCCACACGCAACTACAGCAAGAAGAGATGGTCAGTTGTCTAATTCACACGATATTTCGAGCATGCGAGGGATTTCAGCAAGAGAAGTCCATCAGTTGTCGAGAGCACAGGATAGACCAATCACACGGTTGGCATCCATCAGGGAAGTGGCTCAGCTATCAAATGCCAGGCTAGTTTTGATTAGAGATGATGTAGGATTTGATGGTCCTGGCTCTCATGAACCTGTTCACTTTGCACCTGCAAGAACATGGAAAGGAAAGGCATCTTTGCCGGAAACAGAACAAATTATATCTGATGTTGAGGCATTAAAGGGAAGCTTTGATTTATTTGAGGAAGGAGGTCCGAGTTCATTTGCTGGTGCTAGTCATCCCCCTGAACCAGTTGATACGGATCTCATGCGAACAGTTATTATACCAATAGGTCAAAACAAATCTGAGGCTGGAGGCTTAATGAAGAGTTTTTCCATGAAGGGTTCTGCCCTAGAAGATCTCTCAATTCGAATTCCGGCTAAAAAACCAGGCCCAGCTGTTCTTTCCCCTGCAGAAAGTCTAGTTGAAGAACAAAGTGATATGGGGAACTTGCCCTCTCCTGTTTTGGGTCCTCGTACATCTCAGAATATTGATCACTGTCTCCTTCATCCAGATTCTGAGGAGAAAGAATGTGTTTGGGATGCATCTTTACCTCCAAGTGGAAATGTCAGTCCACTTAGCAGTATTGATAGTACTGGTGTTGTCACTGCAATGAGCATTGCTAATAGTTGTGCAAGTACATACCGGAGTGATGCACTCACTAGTGATGGCATGCTTAGTTTAGATAGGAACTTTGATAGTACTAAGGGGAGTGTGCGGGGTGATTCTCTAGAGAGTACAAAAACTAGTGCTAGTCAAGCAAGTGATAGCAGCGGGTTCAGTGATGACAGCAACTGGAGCAATGTTACTGGTAGTGCCAATAAGCCTCACAAAGGAAATGATCCTCGGTGGAAGGCTATACTTGCCATCCGGGCTCGGGATGGAATTTTGGGCATGAGTCATTTTAAGCTACTCAAGAGACTTGGTTGTGGTGATATTGGAAGTGTATATCTCTCAGAGTTGAGTGCAACTCGGTGTTATTTTGCCATGAAAGTTATGGACAAGGCATCCCTGGCAAGCAGAAAGAAGCTGACCAGGGCACAAACTGAAAGGGAGATATTGCAGCTGCTTGACCATCCATTTCTGCCAACTTTGTATACCCATTTTGAGACAGACAGATTTTGCTGTCTGGTGATGGAATACTGTCCTGGAGGTGATCTACACACCTTAAGGCAACGTCAACCTGGGAAACATTTCTCAGAGTATGCTGCTCGGTATGTGTTTTTTTTTTTTTTGGTGTTGAAATTGCTCAATATGTTATTAATTTTACAGACTTACATTCTGATAACTACTTTCTACTTGTTATTCTGTTGCAATGAACTGCTTTTCGCTGATTTGTCTGTGATCAATGTATGTGTGCGCCAGCGCCATTCATGCATGTTCCTTAATCTTTCTAATCCGTTCTTTAATCCTTAATATCTTGAGTTATTAAATAAATAATTTTTTTATTCTTATGAGAAAGAAGAAGAAAAGAAAGTGGGGAGTATGAGTTTGTAATTAACCTGCGTTTAAAGTGAAATATTTCAATCTATGAAACCCTTAAGCTATCCCATGAACAATAGTCTAAAGAAGAGGCACATATCTCTCATTCCTGACTTCTTTCGCTCTTGGATATTTTTTATCCTTGTTAGAATGTGATTTGACACTTGCATTTGTTTTGGTTTCAAGTCCGTAAATTGATTGTCTCTCTTGATCAGCACTCTATTTGTGATAGAACATAAGATAAAAGAATTGGTTCTATATGCATTTATTTTACCTTCATGTTTGAAAATTCTGTTTGTTTTGATATAATGTTCATGTAAATCCCTTTGGGCCATCTATTCCCCACGTTAACGCAGCGCGTGTATCTTTTTTCTTTATCTGGTCTTGGTGATGAAATTCATGTATTTTATCAGTGCTTGTACTTAATATATTTTATATTTTAATATATCATCCTCCCCTTCTTTCCATGATACTTATCCTATGATTTTGTATGTGGTTGAAGGGCGAGTGAAATGTTACTCAATTGCCTGTCTGTGATTGTTGAACGTGGTCTATTAAATAATATCCATATCTGATTTTAGCTTATGATACTATTTTTATTGTGTCATTTTTGTAGTTTTTATGCTGCGGAGGTTCTGTTAGCGCTTGAATATCTCCACATGCTTGGAGTAGTGTATCGAGACCTTAAACCTGAAAATGTGCTGGTCCGAGATGATGGTCACATTATGCTTTCAGACTTTGATCTCTCCCTTAGATGTGCTGTTTCGCCAACATTGATTAGAACGTCTGATGGTGACCCTTCAAAACGAGGTGGTGCCTTCTGTGTCCAGCCAGCTTGTACTGAGCCTTCATCAGTATGCATCCAGCCTGCATGTTTCATCCCTCGGCTCTTTCCTCAGAAAAACAAGAAATCACAGAAGCCTAAAGCTGATCCAGGGTTATCAGCCAACACGCTTCCAGAGCTCGTGGCCGAGCCCACTTCAGCTCGGTCCATGTCCTTTGTTGGAACCCATGAATACCTTGCTCCTGAAATCATCAAAGGAGAAGGTCATGGCAGTGCAGTGGATTGGTGGACATTTGGAATCTTTCTGCATGAGCTCTTATACGGTAAAACACCTTTCAAAGGATCAGGGAATCGCGCTACATTGTTCAACGTTGTTGGCCAGCAGCTCAAATTTCCTGAGTCACCGGCCACTAGCTATGCTAGCCGGGATCTGATCCGAGGCTTGCTGGTGAAGGAACCACAGAACCGGCTCGGAGTAAAGAGAGGTGCAACTGAGATCAAGCAGCATCCCTTCTTTGAGGGTGTAAATTGGGCCTTGATCCGGTGCAGCACGCCCCCGGAAGTGCCTAGACCCATCGAGAGCGAGATTCCTGGGGCTGCAAGATTTGGACCACCAGATCCGGTTGGCAACAATAGCAAGAGGATGGTAGGTACTGACATGAAGTCTGGGGGTAAATATCTAGATTTTGAGTTCTTCTAGCATGGATTTTCGTGTCGGGTTTGAATTGTGTAACCAATATCATCATCATCAGCTATAATTTTACATGAGCTGGCTGTGCATTAGCATGTTACTTCTTCAGTTGGGTATGTCTCAGCAAAATCTTTTCAATTGGAAACAAGAAAAGATGATGGCTTAAGCTTAGAGTACTGTTGATATGGATGATTTTATAATCTAGTGTTCCAATACAGAATTTAGTTATTCTCATTGAATCTATTCATTTTCATTCCTTCGTCCCTTTTCTGGGCAAAATGACTTCACTTCTGATGCTATTAATTGCTTCAGCTAATAGCATTTCTTCTCAGTTTTCATAGGCTTGGTTCTCACATATCATATAGTCTGCATTTCATCTATGGATCTTCAAGCTTTTTATTGTGAATTTCTTTCTTAGTTTGGATGGATAAAAAAGTGACAAAAAAAGTACAATATCTCTATAGGGAATTTAGAATTAAAAAAAAAATTCGAAACTAGCTGCTTTTAAACATTTATATTAAATGTTTTCTTACTATTCAGAAACTTGTGATATTTGGTTTTTCATCGGTTTAGTTGAATTTAGATTACTTTGAACTGTCCTAAAATGAAGTGTTGTAATTTTTCATAGTCAGCCTTAAATCTATAATTTTCTTTAGTAAAAATTAATTCTCAGTAATCAGTATATATTATTTTAGCCATGTTCACCATAGGGTTCACGAACTACTAATTTATGGCCCTGGAATTAAATTGTGCAATGAATAAAAATAGGATTAAGAGTTGAAGGGCAAAAATGACTCAAAATTAGGCTGACAGTTGCAGAATTTATGCAAAAAGTTCAAGAGTAAAAGTGACTCTTGACTTATAAAAATATTGTTTTGGATCAAATCTATTAAGCTTGGAACCAAAGCAAACATAAACTACGTTCAACTATTCTTTGTAATTTTAATAAGAGAGGGACAAACATAATCCTGTTGGTCATATAAATGTATTTAATAAAAAAGATTAGAGTTTACATGTTGTCAAAATAAGAAATGTCCTAGGGTGGCACAAGATACATTGCATAATATAAAATGAGAGGTAATGTAAAAGATGGTGTCTCATACACCATAGTTACACCTCTGGTGCTTTCTCGACCGAACTCGCTCCTGTAAAAATATTAACCACGGGGAATGAGACTTAAGAGTCTCAGTAATCAAAAATTAATATGTAATGATGCATGCAGATGTAACTAATCATGCGATTGCTAAGTGGGCACACAAAAATATTTAATCGAACAATATTTCCAAACAAACCGAACAAGTATTTAATTGCATGAATGCACCTTATATCCTCCTTTCGCCAAATCACCCGACCAAAGGTGAGTTGGACCAAGCGACACGCCACTCATTGGGTCCAATGAGAGCTTACCACGTGGTAATAATTAACCGAACATAAATTCTCATTAACACCATACTTTAAAATACCCTGACAAGTTATGCATCATTCAAATATCCAAATAGAAATATATCCGAACAATAATATCTCATCATGATAAACAAAAATAAATTTTTAACCCACTTAGCAATAATTTCAAACAAGTATATACAGTATTTATTTTCAATAATTCATAATTTTTTTCAAACAATAAAACAACACATAACCATTCACAAACACACCCATCATAACACATTAATAATGGTTACCTTGTGTCTTAAATAACAAGTTCCCCTTCACAACTCCTCTTTCACCACTATCTTTGTCAACACAATCTACATAGTTATTTCATAATACTATATATTGATTTTATATTAAAATAAATAACTCTAATTTAAAGAGTTAGAAAGTCTTAGATCTATAATTCATATTAATACTAATTTAAGATTTATGCCTCATTTAACTTCCCAAATTCTTTTCTAAAATTCTCGTATCCTAATGAACTATTTTTAAGTCTCAAATCACTTCTAATATCACAATTTCATCCTTCTATATTCTAAAAATTCGTCCAAAAATAAATTAAAAATTTTAGAATTATCCTGAAGCCTCAAATCACCTTTCTATAACCTTAAAAATACCTATTCATACTTAAATAAATATTTAATAATTAAAGGTTCATTCCTACATCTCAGATTCAACATAAATTCAACCATATAGATCTAGAGTTTAACTCAAAAATTCTTAAACATGAGTTTTAACCTCAAAAAAATATTCTATAATATTTATTATATCTCTAAGAGCTTTAACCTATATTTTTAATCCATCATATCATCAGATTAACTATCCTATATAAAAAATCCTAATCAAAATATTTACTCTATTTTACAAAATAATTATATCACTAGAAAGCTAATATTATTTAGAAAATAATTATAAAATTAATTTTATACTTAAATAATTTTTTAAATGCTAATATAAATAGGAAAGTTGGAACATACATGAAGAAAAAGAAAATAATCCCTCCTTGCGAGAAGACGCCGAGCAATGTGAGAGGAAGAGAGAAAAATAATATAAAAATAAGATTTTAGGTCCCACAATTATATTAAAAAAAACTATAGGTCTGAATTTAATTATTCAAACCTTTAAGCCATTACTTGTAATTTTTACAAATTGCACCTTGAGCCATTAGTTGTAATTTTTACAAATTACAAAAATATTTCTTTTTGCTTCCTTCCGCGCCTCTTCGCCTGTGCCTGCCTCCTCACTTCTCACATCTAATCAATGTGGGACTTCTACAGTGTCTCTTTTTTTTTTCTTTCTTTTTTTTTAACTCACACACACATAATTTTTTTTATTTTAAATCTTAAAATTATATCTTAACAAAATATTTCTTATATAATTTTAAACCTAAGTTTTTAATTCATAATTAAATTTCTAATTATATTATTATTTCTGAATAATTTCAAATAATATAAATTTCTATTATTATTATTTTTTTTAAAAAAATCAAGATGTTACATTATATTTCAATTTTAGTTTTGAAATTTGAAATCTATATATTTAAAACTCTTCTTTAGAGTAGTTTGAAAAATTTCAAACGAAATAGAGAAATGAACTAAGATTCAAAACAAAAATAAAAAATAACAAATAACAAATTTATTTATATTTTTTAATTGATAAGACATGCGAAAAGATATGATAATCATAAAAATACCAATAATCCAAACAGAAACTAAAGTAGTATTTAGATTAAAGAATTTAGATTTGAATTTAAAATTTAAAATTTGAGATCTATATATTTAAAATTCTTTAGGGCACTCTAAAAAGTTTCAAATGAGGTAGAGATATGAACTTAAATTTGAAACAAAAATGAAAAATTAAAAATAACAAGTTCATTTTTATTTTTTAATCGACAAAATATGAAAAAATATATGATAGTCATACAAATATCAAGAATAAAAATGCAAAGAGAATAAGATGATTGAAGTAATCAAAATTTTAAATGATTAGAATATATGGAGAATTTGAAATAGCAAAATAATTATAATTTGAAATGGATTTGTATTCAAACCAAATCCAAATTCATAATTTTTTATATATCTAAATGAGAGATTTGGCTCACGTCCAAATTCAAATCCTCATTGATCCAAACACACCATAAAATTTAATCACCAAACCTAGCTAATGTGGTTCCAAACACACTCTAAACAGTTGCCTCTTGTTGGGAATCAGAAAGGATCTGTTTTGTCAAACCAAAAAAAAAAAAGAAAAAAAGAAAAAAGACAGAGATATATTCTGTACATCCACGTAATAATCCTTAATGTTGCGATGTAACTAACTAGTAGCTCATAGACAACTTTTAACTATTATCCTCACTCCAAGCCTTGATTGTCACCAGGATCGCTTACCAAGCTGGGGGCTACAATAAAACCGCATGACCACAGAATTAAGATATTCTATGCATTTGGAGCATACTCGAGTGCTTTATGAGGAGTTCGGCACATTACTGTCATTAGGAAAACCGAAATCCCCAAAAAGACCCTGCATCATAGAAGAAAGGCAGAAATTAAATGCTGAGCTGGATATATCTGATGTCTCTCCCCAATACCCCACATTACAGTAATATCTGGAAAATGTAATGCAATGTTTGATAGGTAGAACAGTGTTTTCTATCAATAGAGGTTGAGTTTAGTAGAAGGAGTTAATCCCTCATGATATAACAAACTTAGGTTTGAAGCCCCGTTGAGAAAGATGTCTATATTTAGTGCTCAATAGTGCCTCAAATATAATTACCTCAAATAGGAAAATACATGTGCATAATAAAAGTGTCTCCTAAAAAAAAAATGATAAATGTGCCTACCCAATTTTCTTTTTAGGTACATTTTCCATTTACTCTCTAAAAATTATTTTTCCGTGTAGCAAACATTGCCTAATAGATGCATCCTGTCCGCATGATTCGTGGATGGTTTCTAAACGCATCACAACAAACAGAACTCAATATCTGAAAAAAATTCTCAGCATGCCCAATCTGCCAAAAAAAAATTAGAAGCATAGCTCCTGAGGTACTTGGGTGTCTTGTTAATATCTAAAAACAGAAGTCAATCTCTCCACGTTCCACATTAACCTACGCACTCATGTCTATGGTGGGAGAGTCTCCATCTGATGGATAATTGCCAGAAATGCTTCAGCCAAAATGATCATGTCTAAACAACTTTATTCCTGGCATCAACTACCACAGCAGTTGGAGAGCTTAGGATAAGTACAAGATGTTTTAAACCACTATTAATCAATCATCATACCACCAAATTATACGTGGGTTAATTTTTATGAAATACTATCTATTCCTTAATGAAATGTTTTCCCCAGAATGCTTATATGACATAAAAAAGATGAAGAGTGCTTACCATGGCGTCATTGACTGCATAAGTCACACAATAGTGCTCCTGGAAATCAAATAGCAGACACTTCAGGTGCCAGTGGTTGTGGCATTACAATAGATAACTCACCGTTAAAGACAAGCAAGTTGATACGATATTGGTGAAAACGATGGGTCTGGCTAACATATAGAACACAATTTTCAGGAAATAATTTATCAAACACTTGAAAAAAAATCGTGTTCTCTCTTTTCAATGGAAACCAAACAAGCTCTAACAGTGTGGTTGGTTACTAAACGTTGCTTTGTAAAGTTGAAAAGTTGCTTTTGTTGTAAAATCAAATTGACATTGATAGCCATGAGTGTTAATTAATTCTGAACTTGACGATCAACTTCTTTAATTAATTATCTGAGGCTCTCTTGCAAAAATGCCAACACTCACTTTGTTGACAATAAACATCTTTCCAATGTTTTCTATTTTCTACCTATAAGAAAAATATCTCAGAAATATTGACTAAAGCTTTAGAAAACATAATTTTAGACTACTAGTGATAGTGACGTGTTCAACTTTCAATGAAAAAAATTAGAAAACCAGGCAGGCTCCAATTTTTTCCATTTCGTTTTTTGGCCATTGAACAGCAGTTGAAAGCCCCAGCAAAGTATATCAAACAAAATCCAGGCACTTTTGGGGCTATTAACAGCAGGAATGAAGAAGAGGGATAACCTGCATCATATGCCATTCTTCAAATTCATCAAATAGTTCCAGCCGTTCGATCCTATAATTAAAGCATTGTTAATTAGTACCATCTAATATTTTGCAAAAAGATAAAGGCTTCCATCCCTAAAGAGGAAAAAATCAAAGGAAACTGGAGAATTATGGACAGAGAGAGCCTGTGTGGATGTAAAAAATTTTAGATTCAAGAAATGTGAAAGTTTCATCACATAACAATAACATGTTAGTTTAACAAGGTAAAGTACCTAACACGCATTAAAATCTTGATGGGATATAAAATGGGGAAAGAGACTTCCACAAAGAGGAAAGAAGGATTCTCCTTCAACGGAGTCATCAAGAAAAGCAGCTACTTTTGATGCTTACTTTGGAAGAGCGAAGGAAGCTTCCCAAACCGCCTCTAGCAATTTGAATTAAAAAAAATAAAAACTTTCATCGCTTCATCATGATAAAGCATGAAATAGGAAGGAAAAAAAAAGGAATTATAAGCCCAAAATTTCATTCAACCTAAGGGTTAACTTTATTATTTGCATTTAAGAAAGATCTCCAGGGTTAACTTTCTTATTTGCATTTAAGAAGGATCTCCAGGGTTAACACTGTTGCAAGCAACCAATATAGTTTCACTTTTTAAAGGATATGTCCAATGTATCAACTATAATGCATTTAGTAACACAGCACCATAGTGGCAGCAAAGAAGAATTAAATGCAAACAATCCACAATTTGTTGAGCAAAATACCTGCGCCTTTCATGAGCATCAATAAAGTCACTATACACTCTTAGCATATCCCATGCAACAGCCCTCTGAAACATATGCAGAAAGACAAAATTATCAATTCATGTAGAATACGTGAATTAACTATATAAAAATGAAAAATTAATGTCAACAAGAAAACATAAATGGGATGATTGTATGTGCTATATGTAAGGCATGCTATGTTAGTAGGGGAAAAGGATATTTCATAGGGACAAAAATTATTAGAAAGAAAGAAAGCTACGTGAGGATTGGCATCGTATATTCTCTTTGTGGGAGAGCAGACAAACACAAATGCCCATACAATAAGGCCTCCAATTCCTTAGATTATAATAAGGTGAAATCATCACGTTTTCCAGTAAAATCTCTTATCTGCCAGCAACATCATAGAGGAGATATCAACTATGCCATTGATTGTCAACCTTTAGCGATAATAATAGATGTCTATTAGACTGCCATGTTCTTCAGCATTAAAGCTGGAATCATGTTTACACCATTATTATCCTTTAGAAGGTTCTAAACACCAATGTGTAATTCATCACATCAACTACACAATATATGATTCCAACTGAAGTTAAGAGAGTAAGGACTTCATTTCCATCGATGCTTATACGTCATACCTGCCATCCTTGGTCCAGAAACAATTTTTCCTTTGCAAGTAAGTTTGGTGTAGCATAAATACCCAAGAGTGCACAACCTCGACTCTGAAACAACATAGTAAAGACAAATTATACCTTGGTTTCAATTATATATAGTTGACTTCATTTATATTTTAATTCACGACAACTGGGTTTACTGGTCCTCAAGTAATTTAATGTATAGAATTAGATAAAAAGGTTCAGCAGTTAAAAGATATAAAATATGCAGGACAATGATGTTCTTGACAGCGTGAAGAACTTCCAATCGGGAGATTAATATTTCCAACTGTAATCTTACATAATTAGAAAAGAAAATCAAATACATAAAAGCAATAATTTTTTGATGTCCAGACCTCCAAATTTCTTATCATTTGCCGCCCAAAAGCATCATCTGGGTGGATCTGTTGACAAAGAACCATTTAATGTAAAGAAGATCACCTTGGATTAAACCAAACAGAAGAAAAGAAAAATGATACTGCTGAGAAGACTGGAACCTGCTCATAAAGAAAAAATACTCCTGTCTTAAATGCTTGGGAAGCCCAACCAACAATTGAACGAGTTGAATCCGGATCTAAGTATATCAGAACACATTCTGCAATTATAAAAGTTGGCAGACTGATGACAACGTCAGAACTAAGTAATGTGGTCATTATACAACAAATAGACAACGTTCTTTAGAATAAACCAGAGTCACGTAATATCACAGTTATTAAGCAATTTTCCTTATAACCACAGAAGAAAATTTTCCTATCTAACACAGTTAAGCAATTTAGTTGCCTGGGGGTTGTGTGCCTTTCTCCCCTGTTTGCAAGCTGCTCCTTTAATGACCTCATGCATTTGCACGGAACTATTTCTAGTTCATGGAAAATATAGCCCATAATGTCTTCAGCAAATTAATGACCACAGAACTCCATTGACAATGTCATAAGCCATTTAGAAGCACTCAAAAACTGATAAACTCTCAAATATTCTGAAGAATAAAATTGTAAACCATATAACTGAAGGTGCTTCCAGATTCTATAAGCTTTATTTTATTTCCCACATTGTGCTGGAGCCTTTAAACAAATTTTCAGTTATATACAAATGGAAACGAAAATTCACACTGCATGAGAGAGAGAGAGTGGATACCCAATACATACCTTGGATCCATACCAGCTAGAGATATAATATCATTCAATTTTTCGATGTCACGCAGGTCAACGGGGAGTAGTTTGTAGGATCACTAAGCACTTCTCCTTTCTCTGCATAGAATGAAAGATCAGCAGCAGTTGTTCAGATCAAAACTTCAACCGATACCCAAATGCTAATTTTCACTACTGAAATATCAGTTAATTTTATTTTATTCCTATAAGCAGTAAGTTAAATCAAAAAGCTAATAAGTTTGCAGTTTTGGAATTTAAGGCTTCGTGAAAGGATCATAGTTTCTCCGATGCTGTGCATTTTCAGTCTTGTAAAATAAATAAAAAAGCACCTAGTTTTGAACTACTGAATTGCAATGGAGGGAGTCCAAGAGCTTCCAAGGGCTGTAGTGCATCTTAAGAATTCCATTATGTAGCAAACTTTATCTGAGAGATCATGTAATAGGTCTTAATTAGAATCACCAGCTCTGTTCATAGTTGTTTCCTTTAAGCATTTTCCATTAAATTACAATATAAAGAAAAAAGTTAAAGAAACACTTTTAATTATTTATGTAAGTTTCACTCTTCCTTTAGAAAACATGAATACAATCTAAAATACAATCATCCCTCCTCAAACTACCACGTCCATTCTTCAAAACCTTGTGAAGTGCCAAATGTTCAAATTTTTCACCCGCCATTTAAATGCAAGATGATTAAAAATACATAGAACCTTTTCCTTTATACAAATATAAGAAAATTTTCATAGAGAGAAGAAGGACAATATATCCAACCAAAGGATTTTCTAACTGCCATTAATCATATGAGTGCCAGCACCTCATAAATGCTGAAGGGGGGGGGGGGCGCTCAAAAAAATACTCGACAAAATCAGAAGCAGTTTCCAAAAGTCCAAATATGAGAACTAAAATAATCCAATGATCACTTCCTGCCATTGTTGCAAGGAACTTCATATTTCTTTTCGCCCAACGATTACTTATCAGGCTAAAAATTGGGTGAAGTTCTCCAGCATTTGCAAATGGCAATCAGGGATTCCAACAAAAAAACATAACACACAGGAATTCTTTCTTTAAACCTAATCATGTGCTTACCTATAAAAATTAAACCATCAGTGAATTTGATTGAAGAACCAATAAGCAAACACTTAGGACCCATTTGGTATGATGGAAATGAGAGGCATGGAAATGGAAATAGAATTGTAATTAGGAAGAATGTTTGCTTGGTATGATGGAATTGAAAAAAAATTTAATTCCATTTCCACCAAAACATGTGGAATTGACTTCCACAATAAGACCCAAGGATTTCAAATTCCATATTCTCCATCTCATTTTTACCCCCCGCGTTCAGTCAATGTTGCTCATCATCCTCCTCAAAGTCTGAACTTCTCCCCCCTCCCCATCAGCGACCTTCTCCCCACTCCTCGCAGGCGACCTTCTCCACACTCCCCCCTGGCGACCATTTGACCTTCTCCCCCCTTCACTGTTAATTCCACTTCTCAAATCCTTAACGCCGAGTAAAATCCAGATCTGCCTTGAGAGACAAAGAAACAGCATCAAAGTGATGAACAGCACAGTGGAAGAAGGCCAGAGCAGGTGGCGAAAGTTGTAGCAATCGATTGAGAGGGAGTTCCACTCAACAAGAGCTTTGCTCAAATTTCAAACACTGATAGGCATCATCATTGAAGAGCAGAGCATGATAGGATGGTGGTTCTGTTTTTTTTTTTCCTTTGGCTACAAATTCTGGATTGCAATTGTAATTTTGCATCAGATAATTAGTGGGTTTGATTTGAGAAAAACAAATTTCGTTGCTTTCTTTCGGTGGACTGGAACTAGATGGTGGTTATGTTTTTTTCTTTTGGGTAAGATTGGGTGTAGTTTAAGGAGGGTATTTTGGTCTTTTGAATGACAATTATATCATGATTCTATAAACATACCAAACATATTTTTAAACCTCACTTCCTTTTTTCACTTCCAAATCTATTTCCATTTCCATCAAAATCAATTCCAACATATCAAATGGGGCATTAGAAACTACAGCTAGCCCTTTCTAAACTATTTAAATATTTCTCACTCTAAACCCAGCCCCACTAGGCCACAATAGTTGGATAAGTAAAATGAAAAAAAGTCACTTTGTGGATACAAAAAATGACCCTCATGCCCTGAATTTCTTTTACATAAAGTAATGAACAACAACAACAACAACAAGCCTTTATCCCACTAGGTGGGGTCGGCTACATGGATTGCAAGACGCCATTGTGCTCTATCATCAAGCTTTTAGGAATATTATTAATTAAGAGATCGCGTTCAATAACTTTCAAGAGTGTTCTCTTAGGCCTTCCTCTACCTCTCTTAATCGGACTCAAAGTTATATGTTCCACTCTTCTCACTGGTGCCTCCCTTAGTCTTCTTTGTATATGCCCAAACCATCTCAACCGATTTTCTACTATTTTTTCCTCAATAGGTGCCACCCTCACTTTTTCGCGTACGTGCTCATTTCAAATTTTATCTTTACGTGTATGTCCGCACATCATAATAACATTCTCATCTCTGCTACTCCAACTTTATGCTCTTGCTATCCCGTTAGAGCCCAACATTCACTACTATATAACATTGCCGGTCTGATAGCAGTGCGACAAAACTTTCCTTTAAGTTTATTATGCACCTTACGGTCGCAAATAATTCCTTTAGTTTTTCTCCAATTAAACCACCCAGCTTGAATTCTATGTGAAATATCTCCACTGATTTCGCCATCATTTTGAATAATGGCTCCCAAATATCTAAACTTTTCCAAGAAAGATATCAAACTGGTTAATGCTCAAGCACCATGCATTACAGCACAAGAATAGAACACCTCTAATGTCAGAACACAAGCCATTAACTAATGCACATTGCATATACAGTAATATATTCAGCATTGCTTACCTGTGGATATAACTGCTGTTACTCCAACTTTGTCCTTTAATTGACTGTAAGTCTCAATAAGTGCAGCTTTCTTACTAGTTACCTAATTCAAATAAACAAAACCACATTAACCTTGTCTGCTGATTATGGTTGTTCGGAATGTGAGATTCACAAAATAAAAATAAGCTTTTTCACCTCCATTAGCCATTAATTAGTATTTAATCATAACAAGTCCCTTCTATTGTTTTTGGGCTAACAAACCAGATGGTAAATTATCTTGAGAAATCATCTACTATCAATCTGAGACGGGACAATAAGGGAATAAGTAAAAGAGACTGCCTAGGCCAACAAAAACCTTTTAAGGAAAAATAGGTTCAAGTTTTCACCTCCTTAAAATCAACTTCCACATATAGATGCGGTGCTTTCCCCTCATCCTGCCAAGAGAAGGTAGAGCCATTTCAATTACAACTATACATGAGCATTTATTACAGATAAACGAACTAAGAAGGGTTACAACAACTATTGAAATTGAGGTAAACAATGCTACACACATTCTCAGCTAGTTCATACCTCTGTACATCATTCTAAACAAGAGAAAGATCTTAGTGCCAAATGGTATATGGCACCAAACAAGCTGCATATCAGGGTTTTTTCCCCCCTTTGCATCTTTGTATTTTACAGGTAAAGGAAAATTATTTTTCAAGTCATAGAATTTTGAGTTTAGACCCCAAGATGACATAATATTATAAAAAAATTATAACACGTGATGTTAGAGTAGCTTTTACACTGCCTCTGTTTTAAACTTACAAAAGAAAACAATGGATGTTTTTCAATCACGTTTCTACATCACAGTACACACAGCAAAAACATGAATACAACATAAGTTCATTCCACTGTGTTCTTATTTACAAGAGTGCATGTAAGTAACCATAAATTCTTTAAAGTCATCAGAATGAAGATGGGAAGTACAGAACACGGGCAAGAATGTGATAAAAAAACCCGTCAAGAAGTTTTGGTAAGGCACAAATGGAATTACACGCTTATCCATATCTATACTAGGATATAAAAGAAAAGGTCCTGTTGAAACTCCTCTTCTCACTAATTCTTAAAAAAAAAAAACAAGAAATGGCATGTCCAAATAGCCTATTACTACAATTTAATAGCAAGTAGTAATATGACAGTAATGTATTGACTCACTTTAACATAACTCCTTATTCATCATCTCAATGTTTTCATGAATAAATTTATGACAAAACCCCACGTTTTTACAGGTGATAGCCTTCCACATTAACTGCGAATGTTAAAAAAAAAACAAAAAAAAAATTATTAAAGGGTTTTGAGCTGCAATCATAAGGGCAAATATGCAGTATGGAACTACATTTTCCTTCCAATGTTCTGTCTAGCACAAGGGTAAAGGCCCATTTGTTTCAGCTCTTTTTATGAAAAAATCACTTCCTTTTACAGAAAAGAACACTTTTAAGAAACTTTAGGATGTTGTGCTTTTTATGATTGTGATCTAAAGCAAAATAGCTTCTGCTTTTTATAAAAATCTCTAAATAATAAATCAGTTTTTTAAAACAACTAGAAATCACATTTTTTAAGCTTAAACATGAGCCCTAAGACATGTTGTCCTCAGTTGTCTCTTCGAGTGAAACTGTAAAATCTGTGGGACAATAGCTTAGAATCATTTGAAAGAAGAAAAACAAGTTGTGTAGAATATGTCAGGACAATACTTATGACAACTCACAGGGTAAACCAGGCACCTGCAACTGAAAATATGTTGTGTCAAATCCTGCTCCAAGTGATAATATCTGCTTCTTTAATGGATTGTCTTTATCTGTCTTATTCTCAACATCGAGAAACTGATGCAGAAGTTTCCGAAAAGCAGCCCAACGAGCAAAGTAACCTTCATACTCACAGATAATAATAATGATAAACCAGCTACTCGAAGGCTGAAGGATACTTAATAAGTATAAAATTTAAACAATTCAGTTTGTTCAAGTTAATTCTTACCACGGTTAATAATTGGAGATCTCCTCATTGGTCTTCTGACAAATAAATGAATATAGTCATCTTTCATGTATCCCTTCTTCACACAGGACCTTCAGACAGTTTATAAGTTATCATTATTCACCACATATGAAAAACTGGTTCATTTATACTCAGGAAAAAAAAAAGATGTTAACAGATGACCACACTAACAGAATATAGACGACTCAAACAGTCTAAATTTAAAGAGAACAGACAAGCTAAACTTAAACTCAAGAAATTCTATTCCAGTACGAGAAATAGAACACTCCCACCTGAAAACAAGATTTCCAATTACCCCAACAACAGATCCCCAATTCTCAAATTCAAAGACTGCATATCAAATCACAGTCACATCACGAAAATAAAGTAGCATTGTTCATATTCCCCCATACCGGGGTATAATCACTAGCCAACCATTTCATCTGTCACAAGTCAACAAAACTGTCAATGGCCATCAGACGGAAAATATTCCAAAGACGTGTTCTTTACATGGAACAAGACAAAAAATTGCAAACTCCAACAAGAAGAAGCAAGGACATATCACCAAAGGGGGGCGGGAGGAAGAACAAGAATCAAACTTAATCGTAAAGCAAACGAAAATTGTTCTTAGAACAGTAACTTCTACGCCATATTGTTTGTCAGAGAAGCCCAAATGAACGGTTTTCACAATAAGCACAGTAATAGGAAAGAAAATGAGAAAACAAACAAAAAGCTTGCCAAGCCAATATGCTAACTGAAACAAACATCTCATCGAATAGCCACATTCAATTGCCCTTCACTTTGGTTACAATCCAAAATGCAAATTCGCAGAAACCAAAACCAAAAATGAGAAGGGGCCAAAAAAAAAAAGGCTTTCACAGGCTAAAACGTTAAAAGAAACCAGTATTAGATAAAATAGACAATTGCATGATCCTGAATACACAAAAATCAATTTTTTGCACGGCTTGAAACAAGGCAGCAACTGAAGAATAGAATGAAGGGACCAAAAAGGAATCGAGGGTGAGCGCACAATTTACTGGCGGAAGCGTCGTCGTTGGTGGCTTGAACAGCGGCCCTATTGCTACGTGAATCCGCCATCGATTTGTTGGCTTCGTGGAAGAGAAGAGATTGAGAATAACGAACCTTTCAGGTTATAACTCCGGTGAGAATAAAGCCCCCAAAGGAAAAAGATTATTAGGTTATGCCTGCTATGGCATCGAGCGGAACAAGTTGATTCTCGTCCTCGCTCACGTTACACCTGGTAAGAACTGGGCGGATCGGCTTGCTGACTCAACATCTCTCGATTTTTTATTTTATTTTTTCATCTTGCATTTCAAGGGCTTGTTTCGCAATCCATCATAGGGACAGTTTTTTCAATGAATGTTTTCAAAAAATATCTAGAAAGACAAAATATAAAATATTATTCTAAAAAATAACAAAATAAAAAATATTTTAGATATTTTATAATTATTATTCTAGAGAATAAAAAAGAATAAGAAAAACATTCATTTTCTTTATTTTTTTTAATTTTTAGAACATGTTTTATAAAACACTAATTTTTAAAAATAATAGAGTAAAGATAGTTAAGTCATAAATTTTAAGAAAATGCCATAAATTTTATTTTTTTTGTACAGCACCAAATATTTTGGACCTGTCTCTAGTTGAAAAAACTTTAATAAGATCCAGATTAATCTAGATCGAACCCGGATCCTTTTAGGTAAAAATTCTGTTACCAATGCTAATATATTTTCATAACTCGAACTTGAGGTTTCCAAAAAAGAAAATTTGGCCCTCATGCCAATTGAACCAAACTATCTGTTATTGTTGATAGTATAGGTTTTGTTAGAGTAAAAAGTCTCAAATATGCTAAACCCAATTACATTGGGTCCATTTCTTGTTTTCATTGCACAGCTTGTTTTTGTTCTTATTAATTTTCCTTATTCTAGAATATTCCTAAGGCTACGTGTATCATTTTCCTCTCACCTGTAGCACCATTCACTCATTCTTGCACTCTATTTATACTACTGTGAATTGTTTACTGTAATGCATCAAGACTATTCATCAATACTAATGGCTGTTACCTTTTCTATATTTTAAAATGGTATTAGAGCCATGAAAATTATTATGGCTTCATCAGCTTCACATGACTCTGATGGCTCTAATGCTATGTCTCAACCTCTTTTGGTTTCTCCTTATTCATTTTCTTCTTCTCCTTCTCATTTTATTTCTATCAAACTTACTTAGGAAAATTATGTTGTTCGGAAGGCGCAAATGGGGCCTTACTTATATGGCCAGCAACTATTTTATCTTTTGGATGGCTCCTATTCGCCTCCTCCTGAGTTCACAACCTCTGGCTTCCTTAATCCTGAATATTCAAAATGGTTTCGTTTAGATCAATTGGCTCTTTCAGTAATCATTTCTTCACTTTTTGAATCCTTGATTGGACAAGTTATTAAGCACAAGATAGCATGTTCAATATGGCTTGCTTTTGAATGCTTATTCACTCAGAGAATCAAGCTCATTTTTTTCATCTCCATAATCAGATTACTAACTTAAAAAAAAGGGGTGATTCCATTAATGATTACTTTAAACGTGCTATGCTCCTCTCTGAAGCTTTGAGCATTGTTGGAAAACCTATTAATGACACTGATTTTATTACATATCTATTGAATGGTCTTGATTCTGATTATGACTCTATTGTTGCCTCTATAACCACATGGGCTCTTACTTTAACTCCTGAAGATGTGCTTAGCTATTTGTTTATGCATGAAGCTCGTCTATCTAAAAGCACTTTTGTTTCAACTGTTTTATTTGATATATCTGTTAATTTTAACACAAGGCCCCAATCTGTTAATACCTCTCGTCTATCAAATACTGGTTAGTCCTTTAGGGGACGTGGCAAAGGTGGTTGTACTAGTTATGGAGGTAGGGGTCACTTTGGTTGAAGAGGTCATGGTGGATGTTCCTCTTATTCTGACCTGTACTGTCATTTGTGTGAACGATATGGCCATAATGTGCACATGTGTTATCATAGATTTGATCACTCTTGTCAGGCTCCACCTCCTCCTTCTCTTATCGAGGCTTATCACAACTACAGTACTGTTGCTCTCAATGATGCTTGGTATTTTGACACTGGAGCAACCAATTATATGACCGATGATCTCTCCAACCTCAACCTCTAGTCTGAACCATACAAAGGTTGTGACCAAGTTCATACCACTGATGGTTCCACTCTTCCCATAGCTCATCATGGAGCAGGCAAATTCTCTACTTCTTCTTGCAATTTTTTCTTATCTGATTTACTTCATGTTCCTTCTTCTAACAAAAATCTTGTCTCTATTTGTCATTTCTGTTTTAACAATAGCATTTATTTTAAATTTTATCCTTCTTATTTTCTTATTAAGGACATGCGTACCAAGAAACTTCTCTTTCACGGGCCAACAAATAATTATCTCTACCCTTCTTGAATTGCTCTTACTGTTTGTCTTGGAGTTAAAGCATCTAAAGATCGATGGCATTCTAGACTTGATCATCCATCTTTTAGGACTGTTCAGCACATTTTAGCAAAATATTCTCTCCCTTACTCCACTTCTGTATTGTTTTCATCATGTTTTTCTTGTAATATATCTAAAAACCATATACTGCCTCATCCCACTTCTTCTCATCATTCTCCTACCCCTTTGTTTCTTGTTTTTTCAGATGTATGGGGTCCATCCCCTGTTTTGTCTTCTAAAGGTAATCGGTATTATGTTTCCTTTGTTGATGACTTCACTAAATATACTTGGTTTTATCCACTTCACTTTCCTCTGTTTTTCAATTATTCAAAACCCAAGTTGAAAATCTTTTCTAGACTAAAATAAAATTTCTTCAGATAGATAGAGGTGGTGAATTTAAAGCCTTACATTCTATTCTTCAATCACATGGCATTATTCATAGCATTTCTTGTTCTTACTCTCACGCTCAAAATGATACTGTTGAACGAAAGCATCATCATATCACTGAATGTGGTCTCGCTCTTTTAACACATGTTTCTCTTCCTTAAAAATTTTGGGTCCATGCTTTTTCTTCTGTTATTTATCTCATCAATCATTTGCCTTCACCATCTCTTAAATACAAGTCTCCATATCAATTATTATTTCATCATTCTCCTGATTACTCCTTCCTTAAGATTTTTAGTTGTGCTTGTTGGCGTAATTTATGGCCTTATGTCCGTCACAAGTTGGAGCCTTGCTCTGTGCTTTGCATTTTTTTGGCTATGCCAGTAATTATCATGGGTAGTATTGCTTTAACCCTAAGACAAGTCGTATCTATATCTCCCGAGATGTTATTTTTGATGAAACCATTTTCCCTGCTCCTCAATTATTTTCTTTAAATTTTTCTAGCCCAAATCCTTCCTATACTATATTACCTAATCTCACTTCTTGGCCTAATTCTCGTTAGCCTTCTTCTCATTCTCGGCCCATTAATTCTCCTTCTTCTTCAAGCCCAATTCTTCCTCTACCGAGTCCACTTACCAGATCCATTTCTTCCCCTACCTGGTCCAACTCTTTTTCGGATTCTCCTAACCCTTTTTCAGCCTCGTCTCCTTCTCATCCTTACTCATCACTGTCTGCGTCTCCCTCTATCACTGTTGTGTCTGCTCCGTCGCCTGCTCCTCCTCTATCTCCTCCTCGTATGGTCACACGTGTTCAGACCCATTCTCTCAAGCTTAAACAATTTATCAATGGTACTATTAGATGGCCCCCTCCGAAAGCCTTTACCACCACAGTTAGCTTGAATCTTGATACACCTACCTCTACCGCATTTGCTCTCAAAATTCATGAATATTATGATGCCATGAACACTGGCTTCATGCTCTTCATTCTACTTAGGCATGGTTCTTGTTCCTCCACCATCCAAGCGATCGATTATTGGTTGTAAATGGGTCTTTCGCAAGAAATTTCATCCTGATGGAATGCTAGATAAGTACAAGGCGAGATTGGTTGCTAAGGGTTTTCATCAAATACAAGGTATTGATTTTCATGACATTTTTTCTCCTGTAATTAGGCCTACAACGATTTGGCTAATATTATCATTGGCTGTCATTGGCGATTGGCCTATTAAACAAATTGATATTCAAAATGCTTTTCTTCATGGTTTTCTTGAGGAGGAAATTTACATGAAACAACCTCCTGGTTGTCATCATCCACAATATCCTCACTATGTTTGCAAGTTTAATCAGTTTATTTATGGCTTAAAGAAAGCTCTAAGAGCTTGGTTTTTCTCGTCTACACAATTGCTTGACTCAGCTTGGTTTTATTCCATCTAAGTCTAATTCATCTTTGTGTTTTCATCAGACTGCTACCTCAGCTATTTATATTCTAATTTATGTTGATGATAGATTGATCATTGGGTCTGATTCTTCGTCCATATCAAATTTCATCTCTCTTCTGGGCAAGCTTTTTCCTATCAAAAATCTAGGTGATTTACATTTTTTTCTTGGTATAGAGGTTACTTTTACATTTCAAGGTCTTTTTTTATCTCAACATAAATATATATTTGATCTGCTCCAAAAGACCAATATGCTACATTGTAAGCCTATGTGTATACCCATGGCTTCTGGCACTAAGTTATCTATCCATGATGGCAATAGTTTTTCTTACATTACTCTTTATAGAAGTGTTGTGGGTAGTCTACAATATCTTTCTTTTACTCAACCAAACATCTCTCATGCTGTTAACAAAGTCTGTTAATTTTTGCACTTACCTAAAGATACTCATTGGACTGCTGTTAAATGCGTATTGTGTTATTTAAAATGTACTGCTGATTATGGTCTTTTAATATGCAAGTCACCTTTATCTTCTCTTATTGCCTTCTCTGATACTGATTGGGCTGGCTGTCCTGATGATAGAAGATCAACTGGTGGTTTTTGTGTTTTCTTTGGTCAGAATCTCATTTCTTGGTCTGCTTGAAAAAAACAAACTGTGGCTAGATCCTGTACAGAGGTAGAGTATCGTTCTTTAGCTTTGGCTACCTGTGAATTAATCTGGCTTCAATCTCTCCTTAAAGAATTGGTTATTTTTTGGTCCACTGCTCCCACTCTTTGCTGTGATAATATTGGCGCTACTTATTTATCTGCCAATCTAGTTATGCATGCTAGAACCAAACACATTGAGTCGGATTTTCATTGTGTCAGAGAAAGAGTTGCTGCCAAGACTCTCAACATCACCTTTTTATCTTCTTAAGACCAATTAGCTGATCTTTTCACTAAGCCTTTGCCTGCTCCTCGTTTTGCTATGTTGCGCTCAAGCCTCACTATTAGT